AGAAGTCGACTATCAACCGATACGGCAACGCTGAGCCCAGTTTTCCGGGGTGACGGGGATACGGTTCGAAACAGGCAAAAGCCGATCTTACGCAATAACGGCATGGTCGCCATTTTAATCACCGCATAGTAACGACTAGTTACAACATCAATATATCGACCAATCTGCTCAGAGAATAGTTTACGCCAATTCCGCCGATCTTCATTTCTTTGAATTATCATTTTAGTTAGTCTACACTGGCAAAATATTATCTTTTCCCCAAATTAGGCCGAATGGCCTAGAAAGCTATAGCTGTTAATGCAGAAAAAATAAACATACAGCATATAAATGACAGTCACAGTAATACCAAAAATCACGTAAAAAATACAAGAACTTCTTAACATAACGTTCTTATATTTATATATTCATCTACAGTTCTATTCAAACGAAACAATATTCATTTACATATTCATATTCAGAAGCATAAATGTATATGGATATTAGAGTCTGAACAAGTTTTATGCAAGAACTGCTGTTTTCCATAGTTTAATTGAAGAAAACAAAACTAAAACGTAGCTTGAGAAAGGAAAAGCTTCCTTTGCTTTACAAGGACAAAACTCCAATTTCATGAATGCCCGAGTTGCGGAAACGCCACCGTAAATTTGATACAATAAATTATGATCGTTAGGTACACATTTAAAACGCAGCAATTGACTCAATTGCTTTCTATTGAGCACAATGTGATCGTTTGATCATTTATTATTCCGTTTCGGTATTATTACAAGGAATTCTCGACTTTCGGAAGCAAATTTATTTAATTCATAAAAGAACAAAAAAATGACAAGGTTTTTTATGTTTATCTTGTTGTCGTTCCTTTTGATGTTAAAGTAAATCCCTTTGGAAATGTTGCCGGCAGTATTTTCATAATCTGATGATCAGGTATACTTATTCCAAGAACCATTTTAACGCTTTCGTTCCGCAATTGAACCTGCAATTGTTCCATCTAAAGTTCAAAAACCTTATAAGACTACTAGTTTTTTACGTGGCTCTAGGTACCAACGTAAAGACGGGCGTCGTGCGGGATGGCAGCTGTCTCTTGAAAACTCTGGCTTCCGCAGTTTGCTTTTTAAACATATTACTTCATCAAATTGGACTATATCAAATCATTGTTGCAGCAAAACAGATCGTTAAGGTTTCCATAATATTGTTTCAAGAATTTTAGCTGGATGAAAAAATGTATGATTCAGTTATCGCTCTTGATTCATTTTAGTATGTTCGACTGGACCTTCCTCCTATACCATGGTTTTGTTAAGGTGCAGTCGTGACTTTCATTCGAAAATTGTGGTGAGTCAATCCACCTGTAAAATTTTTCTTCCATTTTGACAACAATAACCATCTTATTTTTATCTGTTGGAAAAGGTTTCTGCCCTTATACCGTCGAAACTGAAAGAATTCAGCCAATCATTATTACTTTCTTAACTCTTGCAATCAAAGCAAACTTAATCATTTTGGCAGGAAATTCAATCACCACGATCTGCAGTCACATCCGCTTCCGAGTCATTCAAATATCGTTCACCTCTATTGGTGAGGCAAGCAGCATTCGACTGCGTCAGATATTTGTTGTAAAAAACAGTAG